TTGAAGATGGCTAGTTTTTCCTGGTCAATCCTCCCTCCTACTCATATGACTAGGAAAGAGGCAAAAATTATTTACTGCAATTTATAAAATCCCTACTAGCCTTTTGAAAATATTAATAGCTTTTAGTACCAGTATGGGATCTGGCAACCCTACCATTTGTGCAGATGCTGGAACTGCAGGCCTTAGATCCCCAGGAGGGAACCTGTCTGTGTAGCTGAGGGATCTGGAGATGGAGTTTTCCACCAGAATTTTAGTTTTCTTGTATATGTTATACAACTGCTCACTGGCAAGGGCTTGAGACATTGAAAGTGGAGCAAAAATGGAGTCTCCAGAAGAATGCATTAGATCCCCTAATACGTGGAAGGTGAATGTCTACTGCCGTGATGCCAAATCCTGAGTCACCCTGGAGCAGCTTACTGTCCTGCACAGCATTATTGCCCGAGCCTGCATTGGGCCTAGCTGATAGGGACAGCCTTCTCATTTAATTTGTGTCTTCGTTCGTTTGTTGGTGTAAAAATTGCATTTTTCTTCATCTTTAAAAAAATTACATAGGGCTGGGTGTGGTGGCTCACACCTGTAATCCCAGCACTTTGGGAAGCCAAGGCAGGGGGATTGCTTGAGTCTAGGAGTTCAAGACCAGTCTGGACAACATAGTGAAACCCTTGTCTCTAAAAAAAATTTTTTAATTAGCAAGGTATGGTGCCACATGCCCGTTGTCCCAGCTACGTGAGAGGCTGGGGTGGGAGAATTGCTTGAGCCTGGGAGGTTGAGAGCCATGATTGTACCACTGCATTCCAGCCTAGGTGAAAGAGGAAGACCCCATCTCAAAAAAAAAAAAAAAAAAGGAACACTAGGTGAACGCCTGTCACTTTATACTTGAGGGCACCTTAGGCCTTTCTCTGACCCTTTGACAGGCCCACCCATGTGGAGTCATATTTGAATAATTCCCATCTTGAAGTGCATTGCTTTCTAGTGAGTGAATTGAAGTAGGGAATAAAGTGGGTGAGTTGAAAAAACAATTTCAGGAAATCACCATTTAACTGGGAAAAAAGAACAAGTAGAAATAGGCTAAAATGGCTTTCTTTAGATGGAAGGACTATGAGTAAATTATCTGTTCATTATTCTGTGATTTCTGTATTTTCTTTTTTTTTTTTTTTGAGACAGAGTCTCGTTCTGTCACCCAGGCTGGAATGCAGTGGCATGATCTTGGCTCACTGCAACCTCTACCTCCTGGACTCAAGTGATTCTCCTGCCTCAGCCTCCCGAGTAGCTGGAATTACAGCACCTGCCACCACACCCAGCTAATTTTTGTACTGTTAATAGAGACAGGGTTTCACCATGTTGTCCAGTCTGGTCTCGAACTCTGGACCTGAGGTGATCCTCCCACCTCGGCCTCCCAGTATGCTGGGATTACAGGTGTAAGCCACCGTTCCCAGCTGATTTCCGTATTTTCTTCTTTTTTGTTTTTTGAGACAGGGTCTCACTCTGTCGCCCAGGCTGGAGTGCAGTTGCGTGATCTTGGCTCACTGCAACCTCTGCCTCCCAGGATCAAGCGATTCTCCTGCCTCAGCCTCCCGTGTAGCTGGGATTACAGGCGTGCACCACCACACCTGTCTAATTTTTTTATTTTTAGTAGAAATGGGGTTTCTCCATGTTGGCCAGGCTGGTCTTGAACACCTGACCTCAAATGATCCACCTACCTCAGCCTCCCAAAATGCTGGATTATAGGTGTGAGCTACTGTGCCCGGCCGATTTCCATATTTTCTAAAGTGAGCACATATTGCTTTTATAAAAGGGAAAAAGCTGGTTTTGTTTTGTTTTGTTTTTAAATTTTTGAGACAGAGTCTTGTTCTGTTGCCTAGGCTGGAGTGCAGTTGCCAGATCGTGGCTCACTGCAACCTCTGTCTCCTGGGTTCAAGTGATTCTCATGCCTCAGCCTGCTGGAGTAGCTGGAATTACAGGTTTGTGCCACCACATCCAGCTAATTTTTGTACTTTTAGTAGAGATGGTGTTTCACCACATTGACCAGGCTGGTCTCGAACTCCTGACTTCAGGTGATCGAGCCTCAGCCTCCCAAAGTGTTGGGATTACAGGCATGAGCCACCATGCCCGGCCGGGAAAAGGTTGTAAGTTGCCATTTTAAATAACTGATAAATAGTAAAGTTCAAATAAAAAGTAGCCACAGTTTATAGTGTTATTAATAAATAAGCAAGGAGTAGATTCCAGTTAGGGCAGTATTTTGAGAGTTAAGTGGGGACTGTGAAAGAGAGAATGTAGGTGCTGGCTGAAACTCACTGTGTAAGAGTCAAACCACCTTATCCCCTTTTGAAATGTGACTGGTATAAAAATAAACAAAAAAAATTCAACTTCTGGGCATTAAGTAGCTCTTTCAAGTATATGGGTGCTTGGGATCTGACAAAAGAACCACTGTCCTATAGGGAGGTCAAACATCATCAAGCTTGTGGTCTCTAGGTGGTTCATACTTTTAGAATATTCACAGTTAGCATGTCAGGTTCATAGCCTGAGGAGTGTTCTCAATAGACATCCCCTGGGTCTCTTGAATAAATGATAAGAGGGCTTTTTTGTTAGTCTGTTCTAACATAGGCGTAGCTGGGAGCAGGATTTATTTCAGTGAGTTGGCAAATAATAGCTAAAAGGTAGCCTGGGACACATACCCTCTCCATAGGTAATTAAATCAAAATCATGTCATTCTATCTCTAGAAGGTAAACAGAACAGTGGATTAATATAGTACACTAGGCTGGGCGCAGTGGCTCATGCCTGTGATCCCAACACTTTGGGAGGCTGAGGTGGGTGGATCACTTGAGGGCAGGAGTTCAAGACCAGCCTGGCTAATATGGTGAAACCCTCTCTCTACTAAAAATACAAAAATTAGCTGGGCATGGTAGCAGGTGCCCATAATCCCAGCTTCTCAGGAGGCTGAGGCACGAGAATCGCTTGAGCCCAGGAGGTGGAGGTTCCAGTGAACCACGATTGTGCCTGTGCCACTGCACTCCAGCCTGGGCAACAGAGCAAGACTAGGTCTCAAAAAAAAAAAAAAAATATATATATATATATACACACACACACACACACACACACACACACACACACACACGTATGTATTAGACTGATATCTTTGGAAGGCTTTCTTGATTCCCACCAATCAGACATAATTGCTTCTCCTTTGAATTCCTATGGCCCTTCTTTTTATTTGTCAATTTGTAGATCAATGTCATCTCTACTCTTTAGAGGCAGGGACCCTTTTTGTGTCTTCCACAGTACAATGGGTACTCAATAAATGGTTATTAAGTGTAAATCCCCAACTCTGAATTAACATTTTTCCTGACTTGATAGGTTTAGGGCCAAGACAAAAAGGATGATGCCTGAAGCTGTGAAGTCTAGGTGGGAATCACTTTCCTGCAATATTGAGTATTTGCAGCCTATCTCCATGGCTTCTTGCATGGTGAGATAGAAGAAGAATCTGTAATTCATTACCCTGCCTATCTCTCTCCAACTTGCCTCTTCTCTCTGAACTCCCCGTTCTGCTCTCCCTCTGTATTAGTTCTCTATTGCTATAGATCACTCCAAAACAAAATTATTATCTCTCATGGTTTCTGTGGGTCAGAAACTTGGGAGCAGGCTTGGTAGGGTGGTTCTGGCTTAGAGTCTCTCATGTGGTTGCAGTGAGATGTCCCTGGGACTGTAGCCATCCAAACTCTTGACTGGGGCTGGAGGATTCATTTGCAAGGTAAATCATGCATATGGCTAGCAGGTTGGCACTGGCAAGTTGGTTCCTCTCCACATGGGCCTCTCTAGAGGGCTGTTTGAGTGTCCTGATGATACGGTGGCTAGCTTCCCCCAGAACTAGCAGTTTATAGTGTCTTGAAGCAGAAACTGTAATGTGTTTTATGATGTAGCTTCAGAAGTCACCTATTGTTGCTTCCTCCATATTCCATTAGTTACACAAGCCATCCCTGATTTATTTGGGTGGGGGATTATACATATGTGTGAATGAATATCAGGAGTCAGGGATCACTGGGCTCGTTGAAGGCCATCTTGGAGCTGACTACCATACCTTTCATCCACTGCTGTGATTCCCCAAATGAGGATTAGTAAGCTTAGCCTTGGTTCCCTCCTCCTTCATTCCCACTGCCATTCCTAATTCAAGGCCTCATCCTGCAGTAATAACCTTCAATTTTTGTCCCCGCTTAATCCGTCTTTCAGTCTGTTCCAAGCATAGCTTTGAGTATGTTGTTTCTTTATCCATCTTCAGTAATTAAAATGTGTGCTCCATGAGAGCAAAGACTATTGTATTAATTGTATTAATCTGTTGCTGCATAAAAATATTACCACAAATGTAGTAGCCTAAAACAACACATATTTATTGTCTCACAATTTCTGTGGTTCAGGAGTCTGGTGTGGGTTGTGTAGGTCCTCTGCAACATGGCGATCAAGGTGTCGGGCAGCTTCTTATCTGACACTCAGCTGGGGAAGGATCTGCTTCCAGGCTCCTGTTGTTGGAAGCATTCAGTTCCTTGCAGATTGTTGAACTGAAGGTTTCAGTTTCTTGCTGTCTTTCTGCCGGAGGCTGCTCTCAGTTCCTTGTTACGTGGCCCTCTCACAGCACATCAGCTTGCCTCTTCAGACCTAGCAGGAGAGAGTGTCCCTCAGCAAGACAGATGTGAAAATACTATATAATGTAATCATGTAAAGTCACTCATATACATTCCATCACTTTTGCCATATTCTAATGGTTAAAAGCAAGCCACAGGCCCTACCCACACTCACTGGGGGGATTATGCAAAGGTGTGAATACCAGGAGGCAAGAATCCTGCAGACCACGTTAGTGTCTGTCTGCAGTGACTATGCGTCTTTAGCACCCTGAGCAGGGCATGGCACAGAGTAAGTCTCATATTTGAGTGAATGGGTGTACTGTGACTATTATGTTTCCAACTTCTGGCTTAAGCCTTTTTCTTCACTTCTTTCTTTTCTGTTTCAGAGTTACCAATTTATTCTTGAGACTCCTCTACTCTCGTCATCTGACCTCATGGATGAACTTCAGGATGTTCAGCTCACAGAGATCAAACCACTTCTAAATGATAAGGTAAAGACTTCTCTGTTTTCACTAAAATATGGACAAGCCTCTTCTGATAGTATTTCATTTTCCATATCATCTAAATAGTAACTTAAAACATAGGTGGCTTGATTTTCAATGAAAGGAATACTTTAAACAATCTATTTCTTTTTTTTTTTTTTTTTTAAGATGGTGTCTCACTCTGTCCCCAGGCTGGAGTGCAGTGGTGCAATCTCGGCTCACTGCAACCTTCGACTCCCTGGTTCAAGCGATTCTCTTGCCTCAGCCTCCTGAGTAGCTGGGATTACAGGCACACGTCACCATGCCCAGCTAATTTTTGTATTTTTAGTAGAGACAGGGTTTCATCATGTTGGCCAGGATGGTCTTGATCTCCTGACCTCGTGATCCACCCGCCACGGCCTCCCAAAGTGCTGGGATTACAGGTGTGAGCCACCATGCCAGGCCAAAAAAATCTATTTCTTAAGCATCTTTTTGATGTTTCCCCCTCTTTTCTTTCTTCCTACTTTTGTTTCCATGAGCCACATTCAATCAAGTTATCTTTGAGATTTTTGTATTTTACAGATAGAGATGTTAAGGGAAAAAATAATGTGGCAATGTTAAGCAGAAAGTATGAGGGTGGGGCTGGGCGCAGTGGCTCACACCTGTAATCCCAGCACTTTGGGAGGCCGAGGCAGGTGGATCACTTGAGGTCAGGAGTTTGAGACCAGCCTGGACAACAAGGTGAAACCTTGTCTCTACTATAAATGGAAAAATTAGCTAGGTGTGGTGGCACGCACCTGTAATCCCAGCTACTTGGGAGGCTGAGGCAGGAGAATTGCTAGAACCCAGGAGGCAGAGGTTGCAGTAAGCCAAGATCGCACCACTGCACCCCAGTCTGGGTGACTCAGTGAGACTCCGTCTCAAAAAAAAAAAAAAAAGAAAGAAAAAGAAAGTATGAGGGTGGAGTTTGACTCAGAATCCAAGTGTCTTGACTTTCAGTTTCAATAAGGAAAATTTACCATCCATGACTGGTGATGTATGTGGGCTACAGTGTTCTCCCTAAAGTTTGCCAAGTCTATGATGTGATCTTTCTGTCAGTATCACAGTTTTTATCAGGGAGGACTGGATGTCAGTCATATACCACATTTTTATGTTAGTGTCAGAGAACTACACAAGGAGCAGATGAGCAGCACAGTTGATGACCACTAGACACTGGTGTGATATGATTTACCAAAAGAAAGGTTTTGGCCAGGTGCAGTGGCTGACGCCTGTAATCCCAGCACTTTGGGAGGCCAAGGCTGACGGATCACTAGAGGTCAGGAGTTTGAGACCAGCCTCGCCAGCATGGTGAAATTCCATCTCTACTAAAAATACAAAAATTAGCTGGGCGTGGTAGTGCAGGCCTATAGTCCCAGCTACTTGGGAGGCTGAAGCAGGAGAATCACTTGAACCCAGAAGGCAGAGGTTGCAGTGAGCTGAGATCATGTACCTGCACTCCAGCCTGGGTGACAGAGCAAGACTCTGCCTCAGAAAAAAGAAAGTTTTGTTTTCTCTCTTGTTCCTTAGTGTTCAGTAAATGTGCCTGAAATTCCTTCTTTTTTTTTGAGACGGAGTCTTACTCTGTCACCCAGGCTGGAGTGCAATGGTACAATCTTCGCTCACTACAAGCTCTACCTCCCGGTTTCAAGTGATTCTCCTGCCTCAGCCTCCTGAGTGGCTGGGATTACAGGCATGCACCTGGCTAATTTTTGTATTTTTACAAAACTGACCTTGTGATCCACCCGCCTTGTCCTTCTAAAGTGCTGGGATTACAGGCATGAGCCACCGTGCCCAGCTGCTTGAAATTCCTTCCTTTCCACTCTATTGTTTTGGTTTATTTTCATTGTCTCTATTGAAGTACTCTTGTAGCTTTGTGTGAGTGAGGTCATGCCATCCTTTCCTGAGGGAGTGTTGATGGAATATGAGGATAAAGATGGATGGACGGGGGGGACGGGGAGGGGATGTGCGGGTGACACCAGGAGATAATCTGTTGCTTATTATTTTTATCTGCCCTTCACCTGCAGCCTCTGGAGCTGCTGACGTCTTATGTGTTTGCTAGTTTGCTTTGGAATCCTGCCACCCCATTTTCATCCCTGTGACCTCTCCATTCCCACTCCCACCCCTTCTTTTATCTTTCACCAGACTTCTCTCTCCCTTGGCAAGCTGCAGGCTTTTTTTTTTTTTTTTTTTTTTGAGACGAAGTCTTGCTCTGTCACCAGGCTGGAGTGCAATGGCGTGATCTTGGCTCACTGCAACCTCTGCCTCCTGAGTTCAAGCAATTCTCCTGCCTCAGCCTCCCAAGTAGCTGGGACTACAGGTGCGCACCACCACACCCAGCTAATTTTTGTATTTTGACTAGAGATGGGGTTTCACCGTGTTGGGCAAGATGGTCTCGATCTCTTGACCTCTTGATCTGCCCGCCTCAGCCTCCAAAAGTGCTGGGATTACAGGCGTGAGCCTCTGCGCCCGGCCACTGCATGCTTTTTTAACCTCCATTTGGTTTCTCCTGCTGCTTCCCCTCATATTTCCAGAAAACTCTCTCCTTTAAGTACTATTTGTGTATGTGTATATGTGAGGGCTGTTCCAAAAATGTTGTGCCTAGGAGAGGAGGAAGGAAATAAAATCTGAGCCAGGCACACACCTATAACCGGGCTCACACCTATAATTCCAGCACTTTGGGAGGCTGATGCGGGAGGATCACCTGAAGCCAGAAGTTCAAGACCAGCCTGGGCAACAAAGGGAGATCCTGTCTACCAAAAAACTAAAAAAATTATCCAGGTGTGGTAGCAGATGCCTGTAGTCCCAGCTACTTGGGCGGCTGAGTTGCGAGGATCACTTGAGCCCGGGAGGTTGAGGCTGCAGTGAGCTGTGATTGTGCCACTGCACTCCAGCCCGGGCAACAGAGTAAGACCCTGTCTCAAAAAATAAAGAAATAGAGAAAGAGGCTCTCTTTCTCTCTCCCTTCCCCTGCCATATGGGGACACAGCAAGAAGGCAGCTGTCACAAACCAGGAAGAGATTCGTCATGAGAAACTGAACCCTTCTAGAACCTTAATCTTGAACTTTGCAGCCTTCAGAACCATGAGAAAATAAATTTCTGTTCTTTTAAGCCATCAAGTCTATGTGATTTTGTTATGACAGCCCGAGTAGACTAAGACACGAAGCAGTGTCTCACTTCCTAACATCTATCCGCTCCTCTTTGATAGGCCTATGCTGTTCCTACCCACCTCCCACATTCCACCTTACTCCTCTCTCTCCCTGAGATGTAAGTGCTCCTGTGCCATCACTATTCATGAGGACTCTCTCGGCTCTTGCCAAGCAGGTAGATAGGCAAGAGGCCCTCTTTAGATCATGGCACTTCCAAACAAAGACTTCTGTCCCATTAGCCTCCCTCTCCCCCTCCCCAGTACGTGAATGCTTCTGTCTGCCCAGCAGGTGGGTGGTTTTGTGTATGTGGTAAACGGTATAATGATAATAATGCCTCTCATCCATTACTTCATTTGAACCTCCCAATAGCTTGATGAGGAAGAGAACACAGATAAATTTATTCCCACATTGCTAGTGAGTGAACAAAGGCTAGAAAAGGTGAAGTAGCTTACTCCTATTGAGTATCAAAGAATGCCTGCTGTATGGCAGGATTTCTCACTGTTGATGTTTTGGATTGGATCATTGTTTGTTGTGGAACACTGCTCTGTGCATTGTAGAATGTTTAGCAGCATCTTTGGCCTCTACCCACTAGATGCTAATAGTACTCCCCAGTGGACAACTAAAAATGTCTCCAGACATTGCCAGATGTCCCTGGGAGGCAAAATTGCCTTGGTTGAGAACCACTGGTGTAGAGGAAAAACCTCCAGATTTGCATAGAAGTAGATGGCTTGAGGGTTTTGTTGTTGTTTTTGCCTGTCCTTCTGTGATTTATTTATTATCTTTTATGTGCCAAGTGCTTTACATACATTCTCTCTAATTCTCAGAATATCCCTTTGAGATAGATAGTAGTATTCCTACTTCACAGATTAAAAATCCGAATGAAATGCTGGTTTGCCTAGTAAAGAAGTGGCAAAGCCAGACGGAAACCAAAGTCTTTCCTACTCTTAAAACCTGAGCCGTTTCCACTGTGTTAATCCTATAGATGTTTTGGCATCACCTTTGTGGCTTGCCCTCTCTTTTAAGGAGAAGCCTAAAAATGTGTAGTATTTCACCTTATCCTTCTGTCCATTATCCTTATAAATATACTTTTTGCTAAAGACATTGCTGCATCCTCCAGGCTTCAGGAAGCTAAAGGAAGACTAGAACCAACGTTTTACCATGAAATTTGTCCTGAGATGACTGTAAGGAGGCATTCTCAATATAGCTTTGAGCAAGGCTTATGTTAACTTGTCTCACGTCATTTGTTGGTACTTTTCCCATTTTATTTTAGTATGCCTGTAATTTTGTCTATGGCTCAGAATTGTCAAGAAGTGGATAATTTTGCCATACTTGTTTTGGCTCCAGTGATGAAAAGAAGCAACCACCAGTACTTTGTTTTGCGAGGCAGAAATTCCATGGGCATATGAAATGATTTTTAAAATAGCATTTAACTATTTTCAGAGCACTTTCACAAATAATATCTTATTTTAATCTTCCAGTCTCTTGTAAGTAGTTGAAGATATTTTAACTCCATTTTACAGATGACACTGAGAGGTTATGTGACTTGTTCAGAGCTAGTGTCTGTTAAGTTGGTGAAGCCAGGATAGAAGCTACGTCTTTTGACTTTGACCTGGACCTGGGGGTCTAGGGTTCTTCCCACCATCTACTGCCTCTTGTACCTGGTTGCTCCACTCTCCTCACCCAAAACACCTTGTAATAAACAGGAGAGTATACTGTTTTGCTTCATTTTCCCTGCCTTCCTCTACCTACTATTGGTTCAGATACTACCGAACCCTGTGAAAGCAAAAGGTGAGGCTTGAGAAAACAAGTAGAAGGCCACACTTAGCTTCTGAAGAATTGAGGAAA